GCCCTACATCTACAGCGCGTCTTCTAAGAAGCAGGGGTGCTTCTAAGAAACCTTCCCCCCTCCCCCTGCTCCCCTCATGAGCGAAAAGCATATCCGTATCCGCGGCCTCGCGGGCTGGGCCCCTGGGCCGCGGCCCCGCGGATACGGGGCATCTTGTTCGCGGATGCCCCGCGCGGAACGTAATCCGTGCGGCCGCGCCTCCGCTGGATGGCGCCCCGGAATGCAGACCGCGAGGGCGCGGATACCGATCTGTGCGTCGCTCGTGGCCCCAGACACCCGACGTCATGACTTTGTCACGACGCCGACCCCCCGGGGTCTCGACCTGTTCCCCGGGACGGTCCCCAGGCCCGGCAAGGGCCCCGGGAGGCCGAATGCGGGCGAAAAGCCTCCCGTCGTGATTTCTGCCACTGCTCGAGGGGGGTCTGGGCAGGGTGTCACGGGCGCGGCGGCCCTGCGAGGGCGTACGCCCCGCCGCGGCCGTGGCGCGGAGGGCCCTGCGCCGCGGAGGCGCGCCGCGGTGCCGCAGGCCCGCGGTACTCCGGGCCCGCAGCTCGGAGGGCCTCGGCGGGCCGCGGCGCCTCCACGAAGGCAGCAACCTCGCTGGGGCAGGACAGCAAAGGGCAGGGTGAAGAGAGCATCAGCTCACGCACCCTGGCCCCTCGAGTGAAGGAAAAAAAAAAAAAAAACGACGGAAGGTGTGTCGCCATGTTCGGCCTCTGGGGGTCCTGAGCGGGCCTCGGGACCGTCAGAAAACGACTCGGGATGAAAAACCAGTCCCGGAGAAATGGGTCGAGACCTCGGGGGCTCGACGTTAACGAAAGAATCATGACGTCGGGGGTCTGGGTAGCTGGTTTTCCTGGCGCCTCATGGCGCTGGGAGGCGCCCATGTATCTAGGAATGGACCTGGCGGCAGGGCGGAAACCAGCTGCGTGCAGCAGATGTCGCAACCCCTCCTTTCCCCATCCCTCCCTTTCGTCCGGCCCGACTCACGAGCGGCGAGCAGATCCGCATCCGCGCCCTCGCCTGCCTGGAGTCCAGGGCGCGATCCCGCGCGAATACGCGGTCGCACGGGCACGCTCCGCGCGGGGGCATCCGCGAGCAGAGACGCCCCGCATCCACGGGGCCGCGACCCGGAGGGCCCGGCCTGCGAGGCCGCGGATACGGATGTGGGGCCTGTTGTTCGCCCGCAGGCAGCCCTCGGGGCGGACGAGGCTCGCGAGCGACAGGCCCATCCGCGCCCGTGCCCTCGCGCTGCGGGCTCCCCAGGACACCCGGCGCCTCGAACGAATCGAGCCGGGGGTCTTTCATCGCCGTCGTCCTCTCGGGGCCCTGACGAGGGCCCGGGACCGTCCAAGAGCGGCGCGGGTTGAAAAACGGGCCCCGGGGAAGTGGTCGAGAGGGCCCCAGGCCCCGACGACGTGATTTTTTCATGGCGTCGACCCACAGGGGTTTCGACCTATTCCCCGGGGCCGGTTTCTCATCCCGAGTCGCCTTCTGACGACCCCGAGGCCCAGCAAGGGCCCCCAGAGGCCGAAAATTGAGAAAAACCTCCCGTCGTGTGTGTTGCATTAACCCTGTGCCCCTGATATTAGTCCCCATGGGATAACGAAGTTCGGGGGTCCAGGGGGATGATATACTTTTTCACAGAGATCGCAGCATATTGATGAAGATAATGATGATGACAATGATGTTGTTGGTGATGATGATGATGCTGATGATGCTGCTGATGATGATGAAGAAGAAGAAGAAGAAGAAGAAGATGATGATGATGATGATGATGATGATGATGATGATGATGATGATGATGATTATGATGATGATGATGATGATGATGATGATGATGATGATGATGATGATGATGATGATGATGATGATGATGATGATGATGATGATGATGATGATGATGATGATGATGATGATGACGATCCTGGACGCTCCATCGGAATCCTGAAGAAATCCTTAGGACTCCTTCGGAAATGATTTTGATTCCTTCGGAAGTCCATGGGTTACTCGAGGGGCCCCGCGTCTCGAGAAATTCGGGGCGCGGGATGTCTGGGTCTGTGGCGCGACCCCAGATGGACGTGTTGGCCGCGGGCCCGGCGAGAGGCGCGGGTCGGTCAAGCGGCCCAGGGGCACTGGGCAGCGAGGCGTGCACTGCAAGGGGCAGGAGGAGGAGGAGGAGGAGGAGCACGAGGAGGAGAAGGCAGCGGGAGGAGGAGGAGGAGGAGGAGGAGGAGGAGGAGGAGGAGGTAGCAGGAGGAAGTAGCGGAAGGAGGAGGAGGAGGAGATGAGGAGGAGGAGGAGGAAGAGGAGGAGGAGGAGATGGAGGAGGAGGAGGAGGTAGCGGGAGGAGGAGGAGGAGGAGGAGGAGGAGGAGGAGGCAGAGGAGTCAGGAGGCAGGGCGGCCGCGGCGGAGAGGAGCGGGCGGGGGGAGGCAAACTCGGACCAGGAAGATCTTCCTCGGCGTGCCGCGGCCCCGGCTCGTACTCGGCGGCCCCATTGCGGGCGCGCGGTCGCACGGAGAGCCTCCGCGCAGAGCCGCCCTGTGAAGCTGTGGGGCCGCGGCCGAGGAGCTCGGCCGGCGAGGCTGTGGATATGGATACGTTTCCCGACAACGTGACATCCAGAGGACGCCCGGGGGGCGTCCCCAGGTCTCCTCAGCCAGCGATGTCCACTGGCTTCCTCAGCGCCCTCAGCTCGGCTGGCTCTCCCAGCGCCCCGCGGCGCCAGAGGAGAGGCGCCGTACTGAGGTGTGCAGCGGCGGGGCCGAAACCAGCTGCACGCGGCAGAACTTGCGCCCCCCATTCCCAATCCCCTCCTTCTGTTCGGCCCGAAGACCCAGACCCCCGACGTCATGACTTGTTCGCTACGTCGACCCCCCGAGGTCTCGACCCCCCTTCCCCGGGACCAGTTTATCATGCCGAGCCATTTTCTGACGGTCCCGACGCCCCTTGATCGGGGATCTTCTGACCCGGGTCAATCCAGACCAGGGTCAGCAGGAAACCAAAAACTGCAATGCAGGAACAAAAAAAAAAACTGCAACGCAGGTCTTCGCAAACCCGGGTCAGCCAATATGTGCGGCCGCCTCGCGGCCACGAGCGGCTCGCTAACCCAGGTCAGCCAGAGGGGGTCTTCGCAGGATCCTGCAGGATCTGGCGCTCTGGCTGACCCCCGTTTGCATTGACCCCCGTCTCAAGGCTCCCGACTTGAGGGCTCCCGAAGGCCGCGAATAGCGAGAAACCTCCCGTCGTGAGTTTGTCATGACTCGAGTGGGTCTGGGGATCCGGGGTGCAGGAGCAGAAAAGACGGCATCGGCGCAAGACCTCGGAAGTCCGCGCGGGCTCCCTGGGTCGACGCCGGAGCCCCCGGACGCAGGCGCGCCGAGGAGCGCCCGGGGGAGGGGGGGCAGCGCCGGCCCCACGACCCCAAAAGATCCAGGCAGGCCTACGAGGGCTCGTGCTGCTGCCGTCGTCTTTGAGTCTCGGGGGTGGCAGAGGCCTGGCGGCGCGCACGAGGGGGTCGAGGGGGGGAGGCTTCCTAGGAACGGGGGCGTTTCTACGAAGCCTTCCCCCCTCCCCCCAACCCCCCCCCCCTCCGCGCGTGGCTGGGTTGGGTTCTTCGAGGGCGGAAGAAGCGGAGGCCACCCAAGTGGTGCCCAAGTGGATGGGGTCTGAGGGTCGGGCTACATTATGCATCGGCGGTGCAGCGGCAGCGTCGGGACGCGGAAAACCAGGCTCTGGATCGCGCCGCGTCGCCGACGCATCAGAGACGCTGCGCGATCGTCCGATCCCGTTTACTCGGACCCTGAGATCCGACGGCGCAAAAAAATTGCCGCATTGGGGAAAAACACGACTGGAGCCAAGAACCCAATCCTTTTCCAGCATTTTCGAGCCAGATCGATGTGTGAGCGTCCTGGGGGCCGAAATCTGGCGAAAACGCTCGGCTCGAATATCTTGCGACGCCGGGACCTTCCCAGGCATCCGGCGTCTCGATTGCACGAGCCCCCGACCTCTCGACCACCTCCCCGGGACCGGTGCTTCATCGCGGGTCGTTTGTCGCCCGAGAGCCCGAAAACGAGAGATGTGACCCCTGGCTCGATTTAGTCGAGACGCCGGATGTCTGGGTCAGGATCGGGCGCGGCCTGACCGACCCCTGGCCAGCCGTCCCCTTCCGTGACGCCACCCTCGCCTTTCCAGCTTCCCTCCGGCCGCATGCACACGTCCTTGGGGCGAGGCGAGGAGATGGTCTGCTACTATTAGGGGTCGGTCCCAGATTCCCGGCTTACTGATTTTACTGACAACGTCGACCCCCAGAGGTCTGGACCCCTTCCCCAGGGACTGGTTTTCCATCCAGAATCGTCCTTTGACGGCGCCGTGGCTCAGCAAGCGCCCCCAGGGGGCGAAAATTTGGCAAAACCTCCCGTCGCGATTTCCTTCCTCGAGGGGGTCTGGGGTTGTATAGGGGAACGAAAAAAGGCATAAACATAACAACTCGGAGGTACGCGCGGAGTGATTGGATCCGCGCTGGACCCCCCTCCCTGGCGCGCGGAGCGCACCAGGGGCGGCGCTGGAGGCGCCGCCAGGGGACCCCAGCCCCGATCCGAGAAATCTGCGCGGACCTCCGAGTTACCTTGTGTATTAGGGGGCAAACAAACCTACCTCGCTTTTGACCACCCTCGCTTCCAAGAGATACCAAGCGATGCCAAACCACGGCATGTACTGGTCAGGCGGCTTGACGAGGAGGCGCATGGTATGACTTGGTTTGGCCTGGAAGCGAAAGCGGGGCAGGCAGTTCACGCTCTGCTGCATGTCATCGTCCGCTTCTCGATCGACGGCCCACGCCGAGGCAGAAAACGCACACGCCCGAGCGAGGCCCGGCCCCTCGCCCGAGGCGCTCGCGGCCGCGCCCCGCCTCCCAGGACCCGCGCCCGCTCCCCGAGCACAGGCCGCCCCCCGGCACGAGGGGGGGGGAGGCCCGCCTGCGCGGCCCAGGCGCAGGCCTCACGCGGCCGAGCCCCACAGGGCCCCGGCCAGCGCCGCGAGGAGCGCGGCCCCCGCGGCGAGGGGCGCGGGGCGGCCGGCGCTGCCCCGCTCGCCGGCCGCGCCGGGGCGGCTGCCGGCGGACCTGCGAGGGGGCCCCGGGGCGCACAAACAACGACACACAGATCCCAGGATTCCGAGTATGTTCTCGTATGTTCTGCTGGATTCTCGTCTGCCCCGGACCCCCTCGAATGATGACACAGTCCTGACGGGAGGTTTTCCGCCAGGCCTCTGGGGGCCCTTACCGGGCCTCAGGATTGTCAAAAAACGACTCCGGATGAAAAACTGGTCCTGGGAAATAGGTCGAAACCTCTGGGGGTCGACGTCATGAAAAAATCATGGCATCGGGGGTCTGGGTTCTCGTCTTCCCCCCCCACCTCCCATACTTGCGCATCTTTCCCTGGGAACCAACCACTCATGGTGTTTGTGTGTCTTTCCCTCCTGAAGACCTGTGCGCCCACGGGTCGGTCAGCAGGACGGGGCTGTCGCCCGTAGCCTGCCACACGCCGCCGTCGCCCCAGTGGATACCTCGTGGAGGAGCAGGAAAAAAAACACCCCCCAGAAGAAGCACCCCGACCGGCCAGGGCGTGCAGCAAACGCACCCCAGGCGGTCGAGCAGGGCAGGGGTGCTCCGGAAACGCTCGGGGCCGTGCATAGGAGAAACGCCGGCGAGATGGGGGCCGGGGTCGCTTCGACTCCCTTGGCCTCGGTCTTCTCGGTTCCAGTAGCCTGCAGCGCGCTTCTCTTTCTGCCTCCCCGGGGGCCCCGGCGTCGCACTCGTTCCGGGCGGGCGCCGGCGCCCACTCTTTCGGGCCGCGGGCCCCTCGCGGACCGATCTGGCTCGGAAGAGGCAGCAGAACACTGTGGTCCGGGGCTCTGGCCATGATTCTTCACGATCCCTTTTGCGTCGTCGGATCTGCAGATAAAAGGCCGCCACCGGGCACGCCCCTCCTCCCCCCCCCCGTGGTGGTGACGTAACGTTCGGCGCCGGCTGGCCAGGGTATGGGAATCCTGGCTTCCTCGGCTATTCGCCACATTCCTGGACCCCGCGGGCGCGAATCGTCACGTCACCATCCCCACCTCCCCCCCGTGACGCTCGTTACGCCAGGAAGACAGAAAAACAAGATCCTGCGAGGTTGCCGGGGAGGCCCATGGTGCTGAAGTCCGCGATCAGGGTTCCTCCGCTGAGGTTCGCTGGCGTGGGGCCCCACGAGGCCGCGCCCATGGCGCACCTGCCAGTGGCCCCATCGAGCGCGTGAGAGCCCGTGATGTAGGCCATGTCTGGGAAGGGGCCGATGTTGATCTCCATCTCGCAGCCCGCCGCTCCAGGCAGCGAGAACTTGCCCGCGAAGACGCCCTGCGGCACGCAGCCCCCGAAGGAGTCGGGGTCCACCAGCTCGTTGGAGCGCCACACGGCCTCGAGCCAGCAGCTCGACATCTTCCGCGTGCGCACCTGCCGGCCCTCCGTGGGCACCTTGTCCGAGGGCCTCCCGTGGCGGTCCGGCTTGTGGGCGAAGTCGTTGTAGGTGGTCCCGAAGCGCTCGCGGAAGCCCTGCTCCCACTCGAAGTTGTCCATGAGCGACCAGGCGTAGTACCCCTTCACGTTTACGCCGTCCTCGGAGATGGCGCGGCCCATCTCCGAGGTGTAGTTGGCGTAGTACTCCAGGCGCTGCCTGTCGCTGATGCCCTCGGCGGTGGAGTCCGCCGACATGGACCACCCGCCCTCGGTGATGTAGATCGGCACGTCCTTTCCGTAGCGCCTGCTGACCCAGTTGAGCAGCTTGCGGAAGCCCCAGGCTGCCGAGTACAGCCAGCCGGACTGGCCTTTCACAAACATGGGGCCCTGCCAGGCCTTCATGTAGGACATGTCGTTGGACCCCGCTTGCGGCTCGAAGGACCCGAGGCCCGTACCGTAGTGGTTCAGGCCGAAGAAGTCGGCGCTGTTGTTGATCCTCCGCTTCTCCTCGTCCGTGAACTGGGGCAGCCGGTCCCCGTACAGCTGGCGCATCGCCGGCGGGTAGTCGCCGCGGCCTCCGAAGATGGGCTCGGAGAACCAGCCGAGCTGGAACTCCACCGAGCGCTCCGTGGCCGCCACGTCCTCGGGGTCGTCGGTCTTCGGCTCGCGCCAGTCCTGGTTGTTCGTGATGCCAATCTTGCCGCCCTGCGCGTAGAACTTTGCGCGGTAGAGCTGGACGGCCGCCGCGTGCGCGTTCAGCACGTTGTGCCCCGCGATCCAGGGGTCCCGGTCCATGTCGCTGAACTCCGCGATGCTGGGCGCCTTGCCGAGGCCAGACGCGAGGTAGGTGAACGTCCAGGCCTCGTTGAAGGTGGCCCACGTCTTGACCCGGTCGCCGAAGTGGGAGAAGCAGGCGTCGACGTAGTGGAGCCAGGCGGGGAGGACCTCGCCGTTCGGCTTGCCGTCCTCGTCGCGGGACCACCAGCCGTTCTTCCGAGGAGGGTCCAGCAGCGCTTGGGGCAGGTCCCAGTGGTAGAGCGTCACGAACGGAGTGATGTCGGCCGCCAGCAGCTCGTCGATGAGGTCGCTGTAGAAGGCCAAACCCTCGGGGTTGGGCTCGCCACTGGAGGCGCCTGTCGGGAAAATGCGCGGCCAAGAGATGCTGAAGCGGTAATGCTTCAGGCCCATGGATTTCATGAGTGCCACGTCCGCCTTCCACTGGTGGTAATGGTCGCAGGCAACGTTCCCAGTGGCGCCCGGGGCGGCCATCAGCTCGTGGGGCGTGCACGGGGCCTTCTTGCAGCAGTAGCTGCAGTTGGCGCCTGGCATCCCGACGGTATTCGCGCCTGTGAAGGTGTCCCAGATGGACGCTCCGCGGCCGCCTTCGCGGTAGGCGCCCTCTATCTGGTAGGCGGCAGTGGCCATCCCCCAAACGAAGTCGTCCGGGAAGCGGCCCTCGACTCTGTACTCGGTGGGCCACTCGCCATTGGCGTATGGCATTGGGTAATCTGGGCACGACTCCAGGCCTACGCATGGGGGCAGCTCCCCGTCCAGGCCACGGGCGTTCTCGAAAAGCTCGTCCTCCTCGAGAATCCGTGTCAGGTTGCGGCTCTCATTTTGGGCCATGGACCTCGACGCTGCATGCGGAGCCGCACGCCGCGGCGCATCGGCTTCCGCGGGGCTCTCGGGCGGCTGCATCTCCGGATCCGCGACGACCAGGTGCAGCTCGGGCTCGCTGTCGAGGCTGATGGGGCGCTCCCGCCCTCCGAAGCCCGCCGCGGCGGGCGCCCCGCGGGCACCCGCCGCGCTGGGACGCAGCGCAGCGCAGGAGCCCAGGACGCCCAGCAGCAGCAGCGACAGGCCGCCCAGCAGGGCGGGCGCCCGCCCGCAGGGCTGTCGGCCGCGCTCGCCGCCGTCTGCGGAGAGGCCCTCGCCGCCGAGCCCGACCTGCGGGGCGCCGCGAAGACGGGGCGCAGGCCCCGCGAGGCAGCACGGCCAGGGCCCCTCCGCCCCCCCCCCGCCCCCTGGCCCCAGGCAGGCCGCCGCTGCGCGGCCGCGCCTCCCCCGAGCCCTCGAGCCCGGACCGAGCCGCGAGGGCCCTCCGGGAGCCTGGGAATTGGACGACGCCAGCCTCGGAGGAGCAGGGCCGGTTCGGGTGTTGCCAGGGAGCGCCCCTGGCCAAAGGTGCCCCTGGCTTGTCGCTCCATTTTGGAGCCCCCTGGGGCCCTGGGGTGCTCTGGAGGCATCGGGGGCCTCCTTGGACATCCTGGGGGCACCTCGGGCCAGGGGCACTTCTAGCCACACCCGACCAGTGGAGGCAACGGCGGCTCAAGAGCAGTCCCCAGGTCCCTCCTGGGGTCTGAACGCGCCAGCTTTCCGAACTGCGCCCAGCCCTGCCGACGAGGGGCCCCCCAAACGTTGTCTCGACTGGCTTCCGGGTCATGGTTCCCAGCGGCTGCTCGGGACGATCTGGGCACCCCCGGAGCGCTCTCGGCGAGGCGCAGCCGCTGGAAGGCGTCGCGAAGCTGGAAAACCCCCCCGCGAACCGACGAAGACAGCCGAAAAAATCGGACCTCTGGCGTCGCAGTTGGCTCACTGCCGGCCTCCGCTGGCAACCGTACACCAGACCAGCTCGATGCGCGCTCCCGCGCGTGCCAGAGCACGCGCGGCGGCGCGCCTCGAGCTGGCCTGGTGCACGGCTGGCGCCGTCCACTTGGAGCGGGGCAGGAGGCGCCCGCCATCGAGGCCATTCTCCCTTCACGGCGCCCCAGAGCTCTCTCGGCCCCCTCCTCCCCTGAGAGCCGACGCCGCGACAAAAAAACGCGAGCTCGCGAACAATCACGACCAGAGCCCCCAACCCCATCTCCCTGCGCACATCTTCGGGCTGGATGGGTCTGTGAGGGTCTCGCGGGGCCCGAAAACGATACGAAAACGCCCGACTCTACAATAACACAAAAAAACAAAATCAGCCTGACGAAGGACCCAACCATATGCAGCTGCGAGTGCCGCATTCTGGGTACCGCCTTCGGTGGAGCTCCCTATGGGACCACGACACGTGTGAGGGGTGTGCCGAAGTGGGTGGCGGTAACGCATGCGGACGCAGCCATTGGGGCCTTCGGTGGAGCTCCCTATGGGGCCACGAACCATGTGAGGGGTGTGCCGTAATGGCTGGCGGTGACGCATGCGGACGCAGCCATTGGGGCCTTCGGTGAAGCTCCCTATGGGGCCACGAACCGTGTGAGGGGTGTGCCGTAATGGCTGGCGGTGACGCATGCAGACGCAGCCATTGGGGCCTTCGGTGAAGCTCCCTATGGGGCCACGAACCGTGTGAGGGGTGTGCCGTAATGGCTGGCGGTAACGCATGCGGACGCAGCCATTGGGGCCTTCGGTGAAGCTCCCTATGGGGCCACGAACCGTGTGAGGGGTGTGCCGTAATGGCTGGCGGTGACGCATGCGGACGCAGCCATTGGGGCCTTCGGTGAAGCTCCCTATGGGGCCACGAACCGTGTGAGGGGTGTGCCGTAATGGCTGGCGGTGACGCATGCGGACGCAGCCACCGGGGCCTTCGGTGAAGCTCCCTATGGGGCCACGAACCGTGTGAGGGGTGTGCCGTAATGGCTGGCGGTGACGCATGAGGACGCAGTCATTGGGGCCTTCGGTGGGGCTCCCTATGGGGCCACGAACCGTGTGAGGGGTGTCCCATAATGGGTGGTGGTGACGCATGAGGACGCAACCACTGGGGCGTTCGGTGGAGCTCGCTATGGGGCCACGAACTGTGTGAAGGGTGTACCGAATTGGGTGGCGGTGACGCATGAGGACGCAGCCATTGGCGCCTTCGGTGAAGCTCCCTATGGGGCCACGAACCGTGGAGGGGGTGTGCCGTAATGGCTGGCGGTGACGCATGAGGACGCAGCCATTGGGGCCTTCGGTGGAGCTCCCTATGGGGCCACGAACCGTGTGAAGGGTGTCCCGTAATGGGTGGCGGTGACGCATGAGGACGCAACCACTGGGGCTTTCGGTGGAGCTCGCTATGAGGCCACGAACTGTGTGAAGGGTGTGCCGTAATGGCTGGCGGTGAC